AGTTAGTTCTTCTCCTCCCTCCCTCCTCTCTCTCTCTCTCTCTCTCTCTCTGAAAAAAATGTTTGTCACTGTAACTGCATAATAAATGCAAATGGATTAATAAGAAAATGTATATAACTGGTCACTATAACATCATACTTTTGAAGCTCTTTATCAGTCTTCCTAGTGCCGTGAATAAACCTCTTCAGTATTGTCTGTTCTGCCTGATTCTTGGGGGAAAGAATCTCCTTGCTTCACAACGCCAAATGGCAGAGGGCACAGGGATGCCTAGAGTTATACAGGGATCCCCTGGGTGAGATATATGCTCAATAGCTCACCAAAGGTGGCATGTGAGGTCTCTACCAAAAGCCAGCAGCCTGCTGGTCCATCTAATAGGAGCAAGACGTTTCTATGGGACATAGTTGAAGAGAGATGTAAAATATAGAATATGATGCTGCAGAAGTGTTAAAGTGAAACTTGTCACCTGCGCCATGGCAATCCCTTCGGCTGAGCCAATCAGCACATAGAACAAAGCACAGCCGGAGATAACACAGCCGTGGAAACAGGCTATATTCTCTGTCTGGGACCAGTGGGGGCCTGATAATTTACAAAGACAAAGGTCCCTCAGCACAAGCCTCCGAAGAGAGACCTCCTCTGGGAAGAGACAATGGTCTGCATCTACAAAGAAAGAGGAGAGGGGACAAGAGCTCCCTTTCACACAAGAGACAGCTCACAGTATTTCTGTCAGGAACAGGAGATCACAACGAAGACTGGAGTAAAACCATGGAAGGACTGTGCAGTTAGCGTTGCTCAACCAGACAGAAAAGTATCTCGTTCAATGAGTCTAGGCGCTAGTCAGCGTGGTATGATTTTATTAGCCATGGAGCCATTTCTTTCCAAGCCTTCTCCTTGCTACCCTCGAATCTCTACACTCTGTGAAATCACTTGTGCTTGGTGTGACTCTGAAGGAATCTAGAGCTTTGTGTTGATTGGAGCAGAGAGGGGAGGTGGAGCTGGTCACCTTGGGACCGTGGTCCTTTGGGAGCAGCAGACATGTGACTGCTGTGAATGCCTAGCGAGACAGGGACGGGGTGCTGCAGGAGGACACTCGGAGGGCCGAGGAATGAAGCATGCATATTACCAACCTTGACAGCGGTCACCCACCTCCACAAGGCCTAGCGGGAACAGCTTGTGTGGTTTGTGGCCGAGGGAGTCGGGGAGCTGCCCCCAGCGGGCACAGACAAGGCTTCCTCATGCTAGGGGCCCATGGCACTGCACTGGGGCATTAGGGCCAGCACAACTGCAAACGGAAAACACGCCCAATTGACACCCGCCTACCTGCAGTACAGGCCCTTAGCACCATGCTTGGGCACTGGGGTCAACGCAGACACAGACAGGAGAGCTGGGTCTGTGCTGAAAGCTTCCCAGCCCAATCCCTATACCACCCACAGTGATTTGATGGATGCAAGTTACCTGAGCACACAACACCGGCATCTTCTCTGTGGGTACAGTTATTTTCTCCCCAAGGCCGAGCCCTGCAGTCAGAGAGGGCAACTTCTGTCCCTGTGCAGTTCATGTTATCCAGCCAGATACGGTCTGACCCTTGCCCAAATCGAGCCCCTCCTGGGGCTGATAATGCTGTCCCACAGCCCAGCTGTCTGCATACGACTCCGGCATCCTGTAAGTCCCAGCTGTCATCACACACGGTTCCCCACTGACGGTTGTGAAGCACCTCGACCCTCCCAGCGCAGTGACTCGGGCCGTTCACCAGTCGGAGTTGAGCCACTTCTGAGATGCCAGCGTCTGCAAACACCCCAAGGGAATAAACACTCAGGGAGGTTCGTGTGCATCCGATCTCTTGTGTCACTGGGGAACATAGCGCCTCCTGCAGACGAATCTGACTGATCTCTGCACATAGCAACTGCCTGTCAAGGGCTCCCCACCACTAACCAGACTAATCACTTGGGCAATGTTGAAGTTTGTCCCCTCCCCTCCCAGCCAGCTCTCACCTAGTTAAGCTGTCACCTAATTAGGCAGACTGGACGGCAGTCTGACCTACTGTTCCCATTCAAGCACTTAAAAAGATCACCCCCCACACTGCTGTCAGGAACCTCCTCGGGAGCAGATTTACACCCTCTCTCCTGGCGCTGGTATTCGCTCCAGTGCGATACTGTGCAGTGCTGCGGGGCAGACGCTGACATAAGGATCTTGGTCACTGAGAGCTGAACACAATCACCCGTGTCATTAGTTGTTGCCTTAGCCTGACATCAGCATCTAATTTACATGTGTTGATCCATAGCTCCCTGAAAACCTCACCCAGAGTCCATCCCCCTTAGAACTGCCTGGAGCGCAGGGACGCCTGGCAGGAACCTGCTGCGCACCAGGCTGACAATGGTTCTGACCAGTGCAGAGGCAATGCACACTTCCTACAAGCAGATCGGCCCCCTCCTGAAGCAAACACCTGCCCCTGCGGTTCCTCTTGACTTGCCACAACTGACTTGGCAACATCGTTTTGTGGCAGCCATTGCTGCATTTGTGTCTAATGCTGCCAGCCCAGTGCCAGTCTCAGATGAATGAGGTTAATTAAGACTCCATTAGGAGTCTTTTCGGTATAAGTGATCACTAGAGCTGAAATCACCTGCTGTGAGACAGTGTTTTTGCCCAGCCTGCTTCAGCACTGAGGTTTCCCCACTAAGAGCTGACAGTCACTGAGAGCTGGGTGGAGCCTCAGGAGAGCGACCTACAGAGGTCACAGTAGAGAGGCCGGGGGCAGCAGAAGGTGAGGGTGAGCGAAGGGATGAGTGGATGGCGGGGTAGCTGCCACCAGAGCAAGCACTCAGAGAGCAGATCAGCTACAAGCTTTCCTCACCGCCCCAAAGGTGGGAAGTGAACTCACACAGGTGCACCTCTGAATTCTGGGTCTTCGCTAACCAAAGACAACCACTGTGAGTGGTGTGCGGTGGAGGGAGAAGGGAGGGGGACCTTAAAGGAATTTTTTGTTGCTGTACTCGAGAACCTGAGGCAAAAGACACTGCCCAACATATTCTCGGGCCGCTGTTTTGCTCATAGTTTCATGTTTATAAATTCTGTTTCTTGCGTTTTCCCAAGATAATTATGCGGGTCTTCCCTCCTCTTATTAAAAAGTTTCTTTTCTACACTGAGACTCTGTGCTTGCAAGAGGGGAAGCCTTGCATGGTAGAAGCACCCAAGGGGTCGTGTGTACTTCCGCCAGGTTACTGGGTGAGTGCTCAAGCTGGATCCGTGTTATATTGCTGGAAAGGAACCCCTAGGTATTGAACCCAGCCCTGGTCGCTTCCGACGCTACTGGCAAAATGGTTACATAGATATTGACTTGTGACATACACAAAAGAAGAAGATGGCCCCAACGACATTCAGCCACCTCTGGGGTAGGTCAGGGCAGGACAGTGAAATATGTAAGCTGTGTAGTAAGGAAGTGAGGAAGAATTGCATCTCCTGTGCCTAGGTCTTGGGGAAGTTACAACTTCAAGATTAATACCCTGAAATGCAAATCTACTGGAACACAGTGCTTAGGAACCGGACTCTTGAGAAATTGGCCCTGGATTTTTAGTTTGAGTGAGAGGCTGCAGGCTCCGTTGACACCAAATTCAACCAGTGGAAGCTGCAGTTCCTCAGGTCCCCATTGTGCTGCAGAGGAGTCTGGCCCAGAGATAAGTGGACGCCAACTGGCAGAGGGCACAGGGATGCCTAGACTTATACGGAGATCCAAAGCGTGAGATATATGCACAATAGCTCACCAGAGGTTGTACGTGAGGTCTCTACCAAGAGCCGGCAGCCCACAGTTAACCCTAATGGGGGCAAGATGTTTGTATGGGACATAGCTGAAGAGAGATGTAAAATGTAGAATATGATGCTTCAGAAGTGTAGTGAAGCTTGTCACCTGCGCCATGGCAATCCTTCGGCTGAGCCAATCAGCACATAGAACAATGCACAGCTGTGGAGACAGGCTATATTCACTGTCTAGGCCCAGTGGGACTCTGATAATTTACAAAGACAAAGGACCCTCAGCACAAGTCTCCAAAGAGAGACCACTTCTGGGAAGAGACAATGGTCTGTACCTACAAAGAAAGAGGAGAGGGGACAAGAGCTCCCTTTCACCCAGGAGGCGACTGACAGCATTTGTCTCAGGAACAAGAGACCCAGCCAAGCCTGGAGTAAAACCCTGGAAGGACTGTGGCGTGAGCGTTCCTCTACCAGACAGAGAAGTATCTCGTTCAATGAGTCAAGGCTCTAGTCAGTGTGATATGATTTTATTGGCCATGGAACCATTTCTTTCCAACCCTTCTCCTTGGTACCCCTCAAATCTCTACACTCTGTGAAATCACTTGTCATTGGAGTGACTATGAAGGGATCTAGAGCTGTGTGCTGATTGGGGCTGAGATGGGAGATGGAGCTAGTCACCTTGGGACCCTGTTCCTTTGATAGCAGCAGATGTGTGACTGCTGTGAATGCCCAGCGAGACAGGGACAGAGTGGTACAGGGAGACAATCGGAGGGTGCAGAGGTGCAGTGTGACTATTGCCAACCTGGAAAGAGGTCACCCCAATCTCCAAGGCCTAGAGGGCACGGCTTGTGTGGCCTATGGCCAAGGGAGTCAGGGAGCTCCCACCCATCAGGCAAAGACAAGGCTTCCACATGCTAGGGGCCCATGGCACTGCACTGGGGCATTAGGGCCAGCACAACCACAGAGAGCGCCCCCTACTGCCATCCCTCTACCTGAAGCACAGGCCCCCTAGCACCACACGAGGGCACTGTGGCTGGCACTGACATCAAGAAGAGAGCTTGAGCGTCCCCTACTGAGCCCTCACACCGCTCCCTGCAGCACAGGCCCATAGAATGCACAGGGGAATTAGGGTCAGCACAGACTGGGAGGAGAGTGCTCCCTATTGGAATCGCCATATTACTCCCTGAAGCACAGATCCCAAGCACCATGCTGCGGTCAGCTCTGGCTGTGAGGGGACAAGGCCCGTTAATGAGTTTCCCACCCTCCAAACTACAACAGGCAGGGTGGTAGATGAAGGTTACCTGAGCACACAACACCGGCATCTTCTCCGTGTGTACAGTTATTCTCTCCCCAAGACAAAGCCCTGCAATCGGAGAGGGCAACTTCTGTCCCTGTGCAGTTGATGTCAGCCAGCCAGATACGGTCAGATCCTGGCCCAAATCGAGCTCCTCGTGGGGCTGATAACGCCGTCCCACAGCCCAGCTGCCTGCACACGACTCCGGCATCCTGTAAGTCCCAGCCATCGTCACACACGGTTCCCCACTGCTGGTTGTGAAGCACCTCGACCCTCCCAGCGCAGCGACTCGGGCCGTTCACCAGTTGGAGCTGAGCCACTTCTGAGATGCCAGCGTCTGCAAACACCCAAGGGAAAAAACATTCAGGGAGCTTCCTATGCGTCCGATCACTAGTGATGCTGTGGGAAAAAGAGTTACCTACCTCTCGTAACTGTTCTTCTTCAAGATGTGTTGCTAATGTCCATTCCAATAGGTGTTCACACACTGCGTGCATGATTGTTGGAAGGTTTTTTCCCCTAGCGGTAACTGTCAGATGGGCTGTGGAGACCCCTGGTGTGGTGCCTTCATGACAGTGTATATCGGTCACTGCCGACCCTCCACCTGCTCAGTTCCTTCTTACCGGAATATTCCGACAGAGGGAAGACAGGTGGGATTTGGAATGGACATGAGCAACACATCTCACAGAGCAATATTTACGAGAGGTAGGTAACCGTTTTTGTTCTTAAAGTGATTGATCATGTGCATTCCAATAGGTGACTCCAACTAGTTTCCCTGGGGGAGGGGTCAGAGTTCACCTGGTTGAGGAATGCAGGACTGCCCTACCAAAGGCTGCATCGTCCCTTGCCTTTTGGGTAATGGCATAGTCTGACGTGAAGGTGTGGATAGAGGACCACGTTGCTGCCTTGCATATTTCCTGGATAGGGACCTGCGCCAGGAATGCTGCAGACAACGCCTGCGCTCTTGTGCAGTGCACCGTAAGCGAAGGGGCTGGAATTTTAGCTAGGTCGTAGCAAGTCCTGATACAGGACGTGATCCATGATGAAATGCACTGGTACAAGACCGGAAGCCCCTTCATCCTTTCTGCTATTGCAATAAAGAGCTGTGGTGATTTTTGAAATGGCTTTGTGTGGCTAATGTACAATGTTAGGGAACGCCTTACATCCAAGGAATGGAACATGTGTTCCCTGTTACTGGCATGTGTCTTAGGGAAGAACACAGGGAAAAATATGTCCTGGTTCATATGAAACTGGTAGACTACCTTTGGCAGAATGTGGGGTGAGGTCATATCTGCACCTTGTCTTTATTTAAGACCGTATAGGACAGCTCAGAAGTCAGCGCTCTGAGCTGGGATACCCTTCTGGCCGAGGTTATGGCCACCAGAAAGGCCACCTTCCAGGAAAGGCAGGACAGAGGTCAGGTCGCCATGGGCTCGAAAGGGGGCCCCATGAGCGTGGACAGGACCAGGTTGAGGTCTATGTGGGGAAAGCCTCTGCCTCTGGGAAATCGAGTGTGTGATGTCTGCCCTAAAGGATCATTCTTGTCTGTGAAATGAGTAGCTGAGGTGATCAGCTAGCTCGCTTTGTGCTCCCGGAAGGTGCGACGCCTCTAGGTGTATCGAGTGAGCCATGCAAAAGTACTACAGCTTGAGGGCTTCCTACCTCAGGGGAGAAGAACAAGCAGTACCTTGTTTGTTTATATAGAACATCGCGGCACCACTGTCACACATGCGCCCTGAAGTTGAGCCTGGAACTCTTGACATGCCAGACGAACCGCCCTCAGCTCCCTTACATTGATGTGCAGCGATAGTTCTGTGTGGGACCATAGCCCTTGGGTTCTAATATTGCCCAGGTGCGCTCCCCAACCGAGCCCCGAGGCATCTGTGACTAGCGATAGCGTAGTTTGGGGTTTGGCAAAGGGTACTCCTGCTGCAGCCACCAGTGGAGAGACTCGAGAATGCGAGTGGGGAGGGTAACTATAGACTCATAGACTTTAAGGTCAGAAGGGACCATTATGATCATCTGGTCTGACCCCCTGCATGCTGCAGGCCACAAAACCATCCCTACCCCTTCCCTTGACTCTGCTGTTGAAGTCCCCAAATCCTGTGTTTTAGTGACTTCAATTGGCAGAGAACCCTCCTGCTAGCGATCCCTGCCCCATGCTGCGGAGGAAGGCGAAAAGCCTCCAGAGGCTCAGCCAATCTACCCTGGAGGAAAATTCCTTCCCGACCCCAAATATGGCGATCAGTAAGACCCCGAGCATGTAGGCAAGAGTCTCCAGCCTGACCCCTGTTAGCCATTATACCGGTACTATCCAGTCCAGTGTGTCCCTGCCAAATCTGTGTACCCTCGCCAAACATGCCTGAAGGGGGCAAAGGCGTAAACTGATGTCCTGGACCACGTATGTGCAGGCCGCCATATGCCCCAACAGTTTCATGCAATTTCTGGCCATGGTTGTGGGAAATCGGCGAAGGTTTTCGATAATGTCAGTGAGGTGTTTGGAAGCGCAGCTCGGGCAGGAACGTCCTGGCATGTGTGGAGTCCAAGAGAGCTCGTATGAATTCTATTCTCTGCGTCGGGGTTAGTGTGGATTTGGGCACATTCAATATGAGGCCCAGCCTGTGGAAGGTGGCCCAATCCAGAGACACATGCTCTTCAGCCTGCGCTTGCGACACGGCCTTGATGAGCCAGTTCTCCAAGTACGGGAATACCTGCACCTGAAGTTTGCGGAGGAAGGCTGCCATGACCGCCATACACTTTATGAATACCTGGGGGGCCGCCAAGAGCCCACACTGGAGCACCCTGAACTGGTAGTGCTGTCCGCTGACCACAAAATGAAGAAAATGTCTGTGGGACAGATAATGGAGATATGAAAGTACTCATCTTTCAAGTCTAGGGTGTCATACCAGTTCCCTGGATCCAGGGAAGGAATGAAGGAGACCAGAGAGACCATGTGAAACTTCACTTTCCTCATGAATGTGTTCAGGTCTCACAGATCCAGGATAGGCCAGAGCCCACCCTTGGCCTTGGGGATGAGGAAATAGTGGGAGTAGTACCCCTTACCCGTGAACTCCTGAGGAACCTCCTCCATTGCCCATAGAGCAAGGAGCGATTGCACATCCTGCAAGCAGAGTTGTTTGTGAGAAGGGTCCCTGAAGAGGAATGGAAAAAGTTGGTGGGAGGGCAGCAAGGAACAGAATTGGATAGAATATCCCATCTGTACCATGCTCAGAACCCAGTGATCTGACGTGATCTTGGACCAAGCATGGAAGAAGCGGGAGAATGGATTCACAAAGTAAGGGTAAGGATCCAAGTTTGATACTGATGCTCTGTCCTCGAGCGCATTTTCGAAAGTTTGGCTTCGGGCCTGGGGGTTATTTGGCCGAACTCCGGCCTTGGCCTGAGGAGGACTGTGGCGGGCACTTCCTGTTATTCCTGCCCCGTCTCCTGGACGAGTCTTGCCTTGGAGGCCGACAGTAGAAGTGACATGGGGGCTGAGGCTTAAATGGCTTTCTTTGGGGTGCAGGGGTGTGGATCCCCAAGGGCTTTAAAGTCACCTTCGAGTCCTTAAGGTTGTGCACGCGAGAATCTATATTTTGTGCAAACAGGCCTGCACGGTCAAAGAGGAGGTCCTGGATCGTGTTCTGGACTTCAGGTGGTATCCCCGACACCTTCAGTCATGTTCTGAGCCTCATTGTAATGGTGGTGGCCATAGTCCAAGCTACCGAGTCTGCCACGTTTAACACAGCCTGGAGGGAGATCCTCAAGACCACTTTGCCCTCCTCGAGGAGCGCACTAAACTCCTTGCATGAGTCTGCCAGGAACAACTCCTGGAATTTTGCTAATGAGCTCCAGGAGTTGAAAGCAGCTGAGTACCGCTTGCTGGTTGGCCACTCGAAGCTGGAGCCCCCCCGTCGAGTAGACCTTTTGGTCAAAAAATCCAGCTTAGTGTTTCGTGACTTTGGGGTGAGACCTGGCTGCACCTGTCACTCCTTACGATTTGCCATATCGACCACCAGAGTCCCTGGTTGGGAGTGGGTGAAAAGGTGTTTGTACCCTTTCTTTGGCAAAAAATAGCTTCTCTTCACCCCTATAGTGGTGGGTGGTATTGAGGCTGGAGTCTGCCACAGCACCCTAGCAGGATGTCCACATTCGGGTCCAACCTCCTCTGCCTGGAGATTCATGTTTAGGGACACTCTTCTAATAATGTCCTGGTGTCCCCTGGTGTCCATCGCCAAAGGGTAATGGTGGTGCCCGCCATAGCCTCGTCCAGTGAGGAGGAGGAGGAGGAGGCCCGTGAGACTGGGTCTTCTTGCCCTACTGGTTCTCTGGAGGCTGGGTCGGGTGCCTCTGTCCCTGCCTCCCCCGTGACTGGACGTGGCTGCAGTACAACTAGTGGCACTGGTTCAGGCACTGTGCCTGAGTATGATGGCCCAGAGCCCCTGTCTCATGCGGGGTCCTCAGGAGACCTGGGGGTGTGGCAAGCCACTGATGTTTCGGGGGGGGGGGGGATGTAGGGTTGTGGGCACCTGTAGATCAATCTCTGATAATTTTCATATGACTTTACATTGTGCCTCTTCATATAACCTTGTGGTGGGTCTACCCACGTGTGACCTCTGTTTTCATGGAACTTTGTATCAAAGCCTCATTTAGAAACTTTGCATTGCCCTTGGTATAATATTATAGCCCCTCAGGATAGAATAAGATAGAAGAAAAATTTCTTTTTTCTAGCAGGAGAACAAGGGCTCCCCCCCCCCCCCCCTCTTAATCAATTGCCCTGTTGAATGAATGAGGTGTGGATGAGCAAGGCATGGAAGGCAGACAGCCT